TCGGGGTGGGGATGCCCCCGTCCTCTGGGGTTTCAAAAAAATAGATCCTTATTTATGAGGGGGGGCACTTGGTGGGTAGTCCCTGCCGGGCGGCGCGACGTCGGCGGCGGCTAGGTGGTATTGGGGTTGATACCTGGGCCCGTCCTTGGGGTTGCATGATAGATTCAGGGTCAGGGTATGGGTATGGATGAGGGTAGGGGGTAGAGTCAGGGTCAGGGTCAGGGGTAGAGTCAGGGTCAGGGTTAGGGTCAGGGTCAGGGGTTAGGGTCAGGGGTTAGGGTCAGGGTCAGGGTCAGGGGATGTGTGTCAGAGAGAGTTAGACCTCGCTGAGCGAAGCGGCGCGCTCGAGGCCAGAGTCGCGGAAGGGCGCCAGCCGCTCCGTCCTCGCGATGATGGCCTGGGAGGGTTGGGGTTAGGGTTGGGGTTGGGGTTAGGGCTAGGGTTGGGGTTAGGGTTAGGGTCGGGGTTAGGGTTGGGGTTAGGGTTAGGGCTAGGGTTGGGGTTAGGGTTAGGGTTAGGGTTAGGGCTAGGGTTGGGGTTAGGGTTGGGGTTAGGGTTAGGGTTAGGGTTGGGGTTGGGGTTAGGGTTAGGGTTGGGGTTAGGGTTAGGGTTAGGGTTGGGGTTAGGGTTAGGGTTAGGGTTGGGGTTAGGGTTAGGGTTAGGGCTAGGGCTAGGGTTAGGGCTAGGGTTAGGGTTAGGGCTAGGGCTAGGGTTAGGGCTAGGGTTAGGGTTGGGGTAAGGGTTAGTGCTAGTTGTGGCCTGGGGGGGGGCGAGGGGCGCGCCGCGCTGCAGTCAGTCAGTGGTACACACACGTCCCTAGCACGGACGACGGGGCACACGCACTCGCGGGACACACACACGGGGGCATTACTACACACGAGGCGGTGTGTGTGCGTTCGAAGGGAAAGGCATCGCCGCAGCCGCAAGCATTGGCGGGGAATGAGCCGCGGTGTGTGGGAGAGGGGTGGGAGAGGGTGGGGAGGGTGGGGGAGGGTGGGAGAGGGTAGGGGAGGGTGGGTTCGGGTACCGTGGGGTATGGGAGGGTGGGTTCGGGTACCGTGGGGTAGGGGAGGGTGGGCTCGGGTACCGTGGGGTAGGGGAGGGTGGGGTGGGGTACCGTGGGGTAGGGGAGGGCGACCTCAGAGGCCGCGAAGACGTGGCGCGAGTCCACGAGGAACTGGAGGTAGTCCTCGCGCTGCGGCTCCCACGCCTTGACGGGCGTCTGGGGGAGGGGCGGAGGGTGGGGGTGGAGGTGGGGAGGGGCGGAGGGTGGGGGTGGAGGGGGGGGGGGGCTCGACGGGCGTCTTTGGGGGAGGGCGGAGGGTGGGGTGGAGGTGAGGGGCAGGCGAGAGGTGTCAGCTAGCACGCGCAGGTGTGGTCGGGCGCAGGAGACAGCGTCGAGGCACAGCATTCATGTCGCTGCTTTGAAAAGGGCACGCGCAGAGCTGCTTCTGCAACGGCGCCAGCGCCCGGTCCCGGTGTCAGCGCCGCAGCTAAGGTACCGCTATGGCATGCCGTCACCTGGGCGGGCTGTTGGCCCTCGCGGGGCGACTGGTCGCGCGTGTGCAGCTTCATCGCCGCGCCGCGCATCTCCGTCTGCACAAAGCTGGGCGGCGCCTGCGAGGCGACAGCGGCGGCGGTGAGCGAGGCGGCGAGCGGGCGGTGAGGGCGGCAGCGGGGATGGCGGCGGGGATGGCGGCGGCGAGGGCAGCGGCCATCGTGGAAGCAGCAGTCGCGGCAACATCGGACGCGAACGACGCAGGCCAGCGGGAGGCGGCGGCGGGAGGGCGGGCGCCTCAGTCTCGGCGCTCGCCGTCGCGCTCATCGCCGGGCTACTGGCGGCCGCGCGGTTCGCGACGGCCACCGCACTGGCTGGCCGGCCCGCCATGGGGAGATTCAGCGCGCTGGCGCTGGCGGCGAGCAGCATCACGGCCCTCAACAAAAAGGCGGCCATTATTGCTAGGGTGCTTTGGAGATGCCGTGATGTTTTTCTTTTTTTGACTTCGTTGTTAATAGGAACAAGCGAAGGCACACACGACATGACGCCAAACACACGATTGCACGCACCGCACCGCACCTCGCACCCGCGCCCGCCGCCCCCCCGACCCCCGCCCCGCCTAGGTAGCTGAGACTAATGGTCGAGGCACCAGGGGTCGTTCTTCGCCCACTGATTGCGCTGAATGGAAAGAGGAAAAGGGCTGATGTATAATGTGCTGCTCTGGAGCTAGAAGTGGGTGCTCTTGCATGTTGTACTAGTGATGTGTAGCATCACTAGGCGGCCCGTTTTTAGCCAAGAGCAGATACACATCGCGCGTGGTCATCGAAAAACCGCTAGTGGTGTGCAGAGAAGTGCGCCCCCCTCCCTCCCTGGAAGCGATGTGCGCCTGCTCTCTCCTGCTCTAGCGCGCCCACTCCACCAACCAAGCGCACAAGCAAGAGAGAGAGTTCGCTCGCGAGCACTAGAGCTCTACCTAACTGAGGCCTTGGATGCCGCAGGAATCATTAATAGATAGCGATGGGAAGGCGATGCGCACAAGAGAAGTATTGCTGACCAAGAGCAATAGGAAATAAAAGATAGAAAACTTCTCGCGCGTCGCCCGCCGACCCAACGATGACACGCGCGCTCGATGTGTGTGAGGCTCGAGGTGTGAGGATTGATTGATTGATGGGAAGGCGAAACACAGTCCGACCAACGACTGGGACACCAACGCGGTATGGGTGGACGCTAGACGGGCGATGACGGTCACACAGGAGCGACACACAGAACCACAAGACAAGACACTCAGCCAATGTGAGGGGGGGGGGGGGGGCAAACCCCGGAAAGTAAATGAGCACACCCGCACGCCGTCTAGGCGCGTATCTTAGTCTCGCGCCCTGACAACGTGTGTTGGGCCATTACCACGTGTGTTGGGCCACGGCGACACGCATTTACCAGCTGCTGCCAAAGAAGGTTGAGGCCTTCGCCGGGCGGGCGATGGACTCTCTGGCCGGTTGGGCCACGGCGACCAGCAGCGCCAGCTGCTGCCCGAGAAGGTCGAGGCCTTCGCTGGGCAGCGCGTCGTCGCTGTCTCAGCTGGATACACCCACAGCCTCGCCCTCACCGCCGGCGGCCATGTCTGGAGCTGGGGTTGTGGGAGCGGGGGCCAGTTGGGCCACGGCGACCAGCAGGATCAGCTGCTGCCAAGGAAGATGGAGGGTTTGGGCGAGCCAGCCGAGCACGCCCATCTCCTCTGAGGGGGAGGGCAGCGACGAGGGCAGCGACGAGGGGAGCGACGAGGGCAGCGACGACGAGGACAGCGACGACGAGGGCAGCGAGGAGGCCAACGAGGAGGCCAGCGAAGGGGAGAGCGAGGAGGACGAGTAGTAGAGCAAGGGAGAGCTCGGGGAGCGGCCGGTGTGGCGCGGGCTCCCTTCCCGGGTCGCCCGCGTGAGTCGCTCTCGGGGGCAGTGTGTGTGTCGGCTGTCGGAATCGCGAGTGCGCGCGCGTGTGTGTGTGTGTGGGTTCGAGACCGCGCGCACACGTGTGCATCGGTGACGGTGTAGCTTTACGTTAGCTGTGTATGCCGCCGGACGGCTCGCCCAGGCTCGCGCGCTGAGCCTGAGGTGCGAGATCTGTGAAGTGCTCGAAATAACACCGTAGCGGAACTGTCGAAGGTCGTACTCTACGGCCACATTGCAAGATGTCCCGCCCCAACGTCAGGCGACGACGCCGGCTCTCGTGTTAGCTACAACACACGACTCCCCACCTCCACTGGCAGTCACCGCGCCGCCGCGCCGCGCCACCCCCTTCCCCCTCCTCCGCCCCTCTCGCCCGCTCAGGACCAGAGCTCCTGCATCAGCCGCCCCTTGGCCTGCAGCTCCTTGACGTAGCCCTCGGCCGCCGCGTCGCTCATCTGGCCGTGCGCCGCGACCGCCCGCTGCAGCGCGCCGACGACGTCGCGGCCCATCGCGGTGCCTGTGAGAGGGGGGGGAGGGGGAGGGGGGGGGGGGGTGAGCAGAGACGGGGGCCGGGGACGGACGGACCCCAACGGCGGCATACCGCCGCAGATGTAGAAATGCGCGTCGCGCTGCAGCATGCCCCACAGCTCGGCGCCTAGAAAAGAAACACGCCGCCCTCACCCTCAACTCAGAAGTACGGATGCGCAGCGTGCGCGACAGCGTCGGCGCCGTCGGCGGCGACGAGGTGCTGCACGTACACCTTTTGGGCCTGCGACCGAGAGAAGGCGACGCGCAGGCTCGAGAGGGCGCCGCTCCGCAGGTGCTCCGCCAGCTCGCCCTCGTACAGGTAGTCCTCCTCCGGCCGGCGGCACCCAAAGTAGAGCCGGACATGGCCGGGCCGCGGCACCGCCGCCGTGCTCAGCTCGCGCAGGAAGGCGCGGAAGGGCGCGATGCCGGTGCCGGGGCCGACCATGACGATGGGCGCGGCCGGGTCGGCGGGCAGGGTGAAGAAGGAGGGGCGGACGAAGACGTACGCGGGCGCGCCGGCGGGCAGCCCCTCGAGCTGGGTCGAGCAGACGCCCTCCTTGGTGCGCGCCTCTGCGCCGCGGCGCGGCTCGCGCAGCACCTGACCTCGTGCGACCTCGTGTGATCTCGTGTGATCTCGTGTGATCTCGTGCGATCTCGTGTGACCTCGTGTGACCTCGTGTGACCTCGTGTGACCTCGTGTGACCTCGGGTGATCTCGTGCGATCTCGTGTGATCTCGTGTAATCTCGTGTGACCTCGTGTGACCTCGTGTGATCTCGGGTGATCTCGTGTGATCTCGTGCGATCTCGCGTGATTGCCTTGACGGTGAGGTGGGCGCGGTGCGGGTCGGACGCCGGGGAGGAGGAGATGGTGTAGTAGCGCGGCGTCAGCTTTGGGCACAGCTCGAGCAGCGACGACCTGGAGGCAGCGGCTCCGGCGTGTGGCTGGCGGAGGAAGCCACACCACTCAGAGGCCGAGCAGACGCGTACTCCCAGGGCGGCGAGCAGGGCGGCTCCTCTCGGCTCCTCTCGGCTCCTCTCGGCTGATCTCGGCTCCTCTCGGCTCCTCTCGGCTCCTCTCGGCTGATCTCGGCTCCTCTCGGCTCCTCTCGGCTCCTCTCGGCTCCTCTCGGCTCCTCTCGGCTGATCTCGGCTCCTCTCGGCTCCTCTCGGCTGCTCTCGACTCCTCTCGGCTCCTCTCGGCTGCTCTCGGCTGCTCTCGGCTGCTCTCGGCTCCGCTCGGCTGCTCTCGGCTAATCTCGACCAGGGCGGCGAGCAGGACGGGAACTCGTCGAGGAGCTCGGCGACGCCGCGGCCGCCGCGCGAGATGTGCGCCGCGTACTCCTCCTTGCCGGCGGGCGAGGCGAGGTGGCGCAGCCTGTGACGCAGGCGCCAACGAGTGAGTGGTCGCCCCCTCGCCGGCGGGCGAGGGGCGAGGCTAGGGCGCAGCCTGGCGGACGACGCCCCGTCGGAGCACGCGTCGGCGAGCATCAGCAGCAGCCCCTTCGGCGCGGGCGCGCGCACGTCCGCGTGGTACCGGAGGGCCTAGTGCCACCGCTGCAGAGTCTCGAGTCCGGTGTCGGGTTAGCCTCAGCCCCCGTGGGTGGCGCGGTTGCGCAGCGCCTGCTCGACCGAGCACGGCGTCGGGAGCGGCGGCGCGGCCCCGCCCGCCGCCGACGGCCGCGGCCGCAGCGCGAAGGTGGCGGCCGGCGCGAGGCCGAGCCGGCTGGCCAGCTTTGCGGCGAGGGCGGGGCCGTTGTCGGGGCAGACGGCGAGGTCGTCGGCGGTGGCGTAGGCGCACGGCGCCCCTCCGCTGGAGCCTCCGCTGCAGGCAAGGTCGAGCTCGAGGTGGCGCACCGAGCCGTGCTGCGGCAGGGAGGCGAGCTCGCGGTTGGTCGCGACGCGCAGCTCGTGGAGGCTGTGCTTGGGCTGGCAGCGCGCGAGGAAGGAGAGGGTGGGGGGCGGCACGGCCGCGTCGCCACCCAGCCACTCCGCCTCAAACTGCGCCGCAGGAGCCGCGAGTGTGAAGGGCGCGCCGCCGCCGCCGCCGCCGCCGCCGCCGCCGCCCGGGCACAACGCCGCCCACAGCGTCTCCCGCCACCGCTCAAAATCGCCGTCGAGGTCGTCGTCGTCGTCTCCTAGCCCGAGCGGGCAGATGCGCTCCGCGCCGAGGGCCGACACCTTGGCATCGACCCACTTGCCCATCGCGCAGTAGTGCTGGTACTGCTTGTTGCCGAGCGCAAACGCGGCGAAGCGGAGCGACTTGAGGTTGGTACCCATCCGCTCCGCCTACCACACGTCCCAGACACGTCCTGGACACGTCCTAGCCACTTGACGTTGGTCCCCCTCCGCTCCGCCTCGACGAAGCTGTAAAACGGGACCGCGTTGTCCGTCGGCTCGCCCTCGCCGTGCGTCGCCATCAGAAAGACGACGGGCGCCTCGTCCTCCTCCGCCAGCCTCTCGGGCGCGTACTCCTCGAGGTCGAGCGAGCGGGCGTCGAAGCCGCGCTGCCGCGCCTCCTCCGCCAGCACCTTGCCAAACGACTCGGCCGTGCCTAGCAGGCGGGTCGGCTCTTGAGGCCAGGCTACTGGGCACTTGGCCGCCCGCCAAACGACGCGGCCGTGCCGGTCTGCGAGCCCCAGAGGATGAGGAGCGGGCCGCGAGGGTAGTGCGAGTCCGACACCGCGCGCGTCAGCTGCACGCCGCCCCCGCCGCCCGCCGCCCGCCCGCCGCCGTGCAGCCGCGCCGCCGCCGCCTCCTTCTCCGCCTTTGCGGCCGCCGCGCCGGCAGCGTACCTGGCCTGCCTCGCCGCGATCTCTTCGGGCGCGAGGAAGACCTTGCGCTTGTACCGCATCATGATGGGCGCGTCCGGCCCGACGACCATGTCGTTGTACGCCGGCTTGGGCAGCGGCGTGGTCATCTGCAGCTCAAAGTCGCGCAGCAGGATCGACCAGATGGTCGACACCTGCAGGGAGGTGTCTCGGAGGTGTCTCGGAGGTGTCTCGGAACCTGCAGGTAGCCGAAGCGGCGCCCGGAGCACATGTGCGAAGTGTCTCGGACGTGTCTCGGAAGTGTCTCGGAACCTGCAGGTAGCCGAAGCGGCGCCCGGAGCACATGTGCGAAGTGTCTCGGAAGTGTCTCGGAAGTGTCTCGGAACCTGCAGGTAGCCGAAGCGGCGGCCGGAGCACATGTGCGAAGTGTCTCGGAAGTGTCTCGGAAGTGTCTCGGAACCTGCAGGTAGCCGAAGCGGCGCCCGGAGCACATGTGCGAAGTGTCTCGGAAGTGTCTCGGAAGTGTCTCGGAAGTGTCTCGGAACCTGCAGGTAGCCGAAGCGGCGGCCGGAGCACATGTGCGAAGTGTCTCGGAAGTGTCTCGGAAGTGTCTCGGAACCTGCAGGTAGCCGAAGCGGCGGCCGGAGCACATGTGCGAAGTGTCTCGGAAGTGTCTCGGAAGTGTCTCGGAACCTGCAGGTAGCCGAAGCGGCGCCCGGAGCACATGTGCGAAGTGTCTCGGAAGTGTCTCGGAAGTGTCTCGGAACCTGCAGGTAGCCGAAGCGGCGCCCGGAGCACATGTACATGCGCGAAGTGTCTCGGAAGTGTCTCGGAAGTGTCTCGGAACCTGCAGGTAGCCGAAGCGGCGCCCGGAGCACATGTACATGTTGTGCGAAGTGTCTCGGAAGTGTCTCGGAAGTGTCTCGGAACCTGCAGGTAGCCGAAGCGGCGCCCGGATCACATGTGCGAAGTGTCTCGGAAGTGTCTCGGAAGTGTCTCGGAACCTGCAGGTAGCCGAAGCGGCGCCCGGAGCACATGTACATGCGCGAAGTGTCTCGGAAGTGTCTCGGAAGTGTCTCGGAACCTGCAGGTAGCCGAAGCGGCGGCCGGAGCACATGTGCGAAGTGTCTCGGAAGTGTCTCGGAAGTGTCTCGGAACCTGCAGGTAGCCGAAGCGGCGCCCGGAGCACATGTGCGAAGTGTCTCGGAAGTGTCTCGGAAGTGTCTCGGAACCTGCAGGTAGCCGAAGCGGCGGCCGGAGCACATGTGCGAAGTGTCTCGGACGTGTCTCGGAAGTGTCTCGGAACCTGCAGGTAGCCGAAGCGGCGGCCGGAGCACATGTGCGCGCCGCCGCCAAACGAGAGCATGAAGCCTACGCATTCGCAGACTCGGCCGTGATTCGCCCCTCCCTAGTACCTGTCTTAACCCATTCAACGAGAGCAGGAGGCCCTGCATCATCCCGTGGCCGACCGAGCGCGAGTCGAACATCGCCTCGTTGGAGGCGTCCGGCAGGTAGCGCGACGGCCGGAAGGCGGTCGCGTCGGGCCAGTAGCGAGGGTCGAGGTTGGAGGCGGGCGCGCAGAGGCCGACCACGTCCCCTTTCGGGATGGTGTGCTCGCCCACCTGCGAGAGGGGGGAAGAGCGGGTGGTTGAGGCTCGAGTGTTGGTCAGGCCGCGGCCACGCCCCCCCCCCCCTTCGGGATGATGGCGCATCTCGCGCCACCTGCAGGCGGGGGGGAGGGGGGCGGTCAAGAAGGGGGCGCGGGCCGGGCCCAGCTCAGCTCGAGGCGGTCCGAGGGGGGAGCATCTCGAGGAGTGCCTCTCGCGCCACCTGCAGGCCGGCGTCGGGCATCACCTGCCGCATCAGCAGGATGAGTGGCGGGTAGAGGCGCAGCGTCTCGGTGATGGCGCGGCGCATGCAGTCCATCTCGAGCAGGTTGGCGTACGTCAGCGACGCCTCGTCCGGCACTCGCGCCTGAGGACGACACCGCGCGCGGAGCGAGCTCACTCGAGGCTGGTGAGTTAATTGGCTTCCTCGGCGTGCCCGCGCGCGCGCGCCCGCTGCTCCGCCAGGCAGTCTGCCATCGCCTCTTTGTTGGAGAGGAGCATGGCGCCGAGCCAGGTGGCGGTGATGGAGGAGGTGTGCTGCCCCGCGAAGAGGAGGACGATGAGCCACCCAGTCACCTGGGGGCGGGGTGGGGCGTTGTGGACGTGTCGCGGACGTGTCCGAGGGAGGGGCAACCCGCTGCACGCACCGCCCGATCAGGCCGAGCGGCGGCGAGACGACCGCAACGAAGACGGAGGCGACGAGGCGGCCGGCCGGCGTCAGAAGCGGCGCCAGCGGCGGCGGGAGGCGCAGCACGCAAGTCAGGCAGCGAAGCAGGTGCGCGGCTGACCAGACCTGACCCGGATCCGCGGTGGCTGCTACGTCGATGTGGCTGCTAAGTCGATGTGGCTGCTAAGTCGATGTGGCTGCTAAGTCGATGTGGCTGCTAAGTCGATGTGGCTGCTAAGTCGATGTGGCTGCTAAGTCGAGGTGGCTGCTAAGTCGATGTGGCTGCTAAGTCGAGGTGGCTGCTAAGTCGAGGTGGCTGCTAAGTCGATGTGGCTGCTAAGTCGATGTGGCTGCTAAGTCGATGTGGCTGCTAAGTCGATGTGGCTGCTAAGTCGATGTGGCTGCTAAGTCGATGTGGCTGCTAAGTCAGGGCAGCGGATAGGGACCCCGAGGAGGAGGGAGTGGCAGAGTTGGGTCCATCAGGGCGACAGTGTCATGCTCTACTGCGTGCACTGGCTGCTGCTGCGGCTGCTGCTGCGGCTGCTGCGGCTGCTGCTGCTGCTTCTGCTTCTGCTGCTGCTGCTGCTGCTTCTGCTGCTGCTGCTGCTGCTGCTGCTTCTGCTGCTGCTGCTGCTGCTTCTACGTACGGTGATTGAACAGGCGCACCTTCGGGTCCGTGAGCACGACTGTGTCGACACCTTCCGCGCCGCCTGGTGCGAGGAGCTTGTCGGCGGCAAGGGTGACGCCGAGAGCCGCATCCTCAGCATGGAGAAGGTTGGTCTGCAGGGTGAGGGTGAGGGTGAGGGTGAGGGTGAGGGTGAGGGTGAGGGTGAGGGTGAGGGGGAGGGGGAGGGGGAGGGGGAGGGTGAGGGTGAGGGTGGGGGTGAGGGTGAGGGGAGGGAGAGGGTGAGGGTGAGGGTAAGGGTGAGGGGGAGGGTGAGGGTGAGGGGGAGGGTGGGGGTGGGGTGAGGGTGTGGAGCGGAGAGGTGTCTCGGAGGTGTCTCGGAGGTGTCTCGGAAGTGTCTCGGTAGCTGCCCAGGCCTGCGCGCGAAAGTGTCCCGCGCCGATGCCTGCGCCGCCCGCGAGCAGCAGCGGCAGCAGCGGCGGCATGCCCTGCAGGTCGGGCGAGTAGAGGCGGTGGAGCCGGAGCACCATCGCCCCGTGCGCGCCCGCGGCGCGGTACGAAGACAGCGCGTCTTCTGCCGCCGCCAGGTCTGCAAGCCGGCGCGAGGCGGGGGGCTTGGGGCGAGGCTCGGGCGAGATGAGGGACATGCCCGGGTCGGAGAGCTCGTCGCCGTCGCACACGTCCGCCGACGCGTCGTACCCCACCAGCGCATCGCTGCACAGGATCACCGCAGGGACCTTCCAACGCGCGCAGGCGCCGAGCAGTGAGGCGGTGCCGGCAGACGCTGAGCCGTCGGAAGCCTCGACGGCGACGTCGACGACGAGATGCGCGCCCTGGCACGCGCCGTGCAGCGCGCGCTCGTCCGCCGGGGAGGCCGAGCGCACCTCCGCGAAGCCGCGCTGCAGGAGCAGCCGCCGGACGTGGCGGACGAGCGCAGACTCAGCTCCGGGCTTGGCGGAGCTGAGGACGGCGACGCGGCCGGCGTGCTCAGCGCTCGGCTCGACCGACACGAGCGGCGCCGTCTTGCGCTCGCTCGCCGCGCGGCACCGCAGCCACGTCACGAGCAGGGAGAGAAGGGCAAGGACGAGACATGCGGCGGCGGCGGCAAGGAACTGGCCGCTCGTAGCGCCGAGGAGCGCGTGCAGCGACGCCGGCGGCGGCGGCGGCGGAGGAGGAGGCGGAGGCGGAGGAGGGCGGAGGAAGTCGGGGAGCCACATATACACACGTGGGTGGTCGGCGTTCGCCGAGCGCGAGAGCTGCGACAAGGAGGTGCAGCAGCGTCGCACGAAGCTTCTGGGTTCGGACTTTTTGCGGGGTATGGCCTCGATGAGCCCGCCTGCTGACAGACCCAGCCTCCCGGAGACCGGGGATGGGCGGTCAGGACCATACCCCCCCCCACCCTTTGGGCCGTGAGAGTACCATACCATACCCCGCAAAAAGTTGGAACCCTGGTATCAAAAAAAGAATTCTCGGTTTGCCAAATGATCGGATGGCGCGGCGCGTACGCCAATATACCCACGCACATACACGGCGAGACATACATACACGGCTACCTAATAGACATTCGAATTAGACATTAGTTTCAACGAGGGTGCTGTAGAGAAACAAGGCAAGGAAACGAGACGGGGAGTGCGCGAGGAAATTGGGCACAGCCCTAACCTTGGGCCGCGCCGCGTGCGGGCACCTGCTGCGGAGCGCTTGGAATGCGGCGCACGCTAATAGCCCCAAGGTTTGGCAGACGCATCCTAAGTGCAGCGCATCCTGCCCCACATCATGCACCATGACGCAACCCAACGTCGAACTGGTGAGCCAACAAAACCTCACTCGCTGGCAGTGTACACTCACGCTGTGCCAACGAGACAGCATGGCAGCAGCAGCTTGGCTGGGTCTACGAATGTATAGTTGATGACTTCATCCGCGACCATTTGAGCCCCCTTGCGTACACCGTCTTCCGCTGCCTACCCCTTGCAGTGATGCGTGCGGACATGTGGCGATATGCAGTGTTGTACGTGATGGTGGGCTCTATGTTGATGCGGATGTGCAATATTCTCGACGTGTTCATGACTGGCTGCAGAAGCCAGCATGCCGTGCTTCCCACCAGTCGCTCTCCAGACAGGACTTCATGTATGCAGCTCGGCCCAGACACCCCATCTTTCGTGGCGCGCTGGACCTCATCGTGCGGCGTGTGATTGCAGACGGCGCGCGATACATTTTGTTCACCACTACACTGGCCCCGGCATGTTCACAACAGCGGTGCTCCAAACGCTCTACCCACAGTTGTATCGCGCAGCAACCACACCAGTCCGCTGCATGCACAGGAGCCACCGGACAGGTACCTGGACACTCTTTCAGGCGCAAATGCAAAGGATTGGGCACTGTGGAGGATGCGCCAAGAAGATGCTGCCGGACGGTGCACAGCGAGCCTTTGGATACGGCACACACCCGATGCCAGGTGATGATTGCAGTCAATTTATTAGAGAGGCCTTAAAGTCCAGCCCATCAGCAGAGCATATGATGGGCCTGTGCGTGGAATTGACACCGGTAACGTCCACTGCATGTCGCCATGGCAAAAGCGCTGCAAGTCTAGCAGGATGGCATTCCTTGCGAAAGCACGTCAAGGACAGCATATGCCCAGTGACGCTAGCGCTTAGATCTCGGACATAGACGTCAATATTTCTACCGATGCCACGAGAATTTTCCGGCCCTTTCCTAAATGGATCTATCATCTAATGCACGTCAAGTATGATAGCCTCATGATCTTCCCACTAAGTCGGGTTGTAGCAGCTTGTCGGCGTATACCGGCCAGGGGGATATGTAGTCCCACACAACGGTCGCACAGCACGATTCACGCGACAGAGACAAGGCGCGGGCGCAGGCCCGTGGAGCACGCACGGCCGCTCGCTCCTCTCGTCGCGATTCGCCGACTGCTCGGCCGGCGTCGTGAAGAGCGTACGCTCCGCGAGCGAAGACAAGTAGGTACCTTTGGCGCCGGCCGTTCGCGGGCTTAGTCTGTAGATCACGCGCTTGCGGCCCCGATGTGTCCGAACAAGGATCTCATCGACGGCGCGGGTTGTGCGAAGTTGTGGCGCCAGCAGTGTCCGACCGGCGCAGTATTATGACTGTCCTGCAATTGCGCTCAAACATCCCACCCATAAAGTAGCGTTCGGTGTGAGTGTGAGTAAGTTTTCGGTCCCATCTTGGTTGAAGGCGTACACAACATGGTACTCTACTGACAGTAACACAACGAGCGTGCGGCAGAGCGGCTGTCTCAACGATCGCGCAAGGCATTCAACAAGCCGGAGTTATCAGCCTAGAGCTCAGCGCGTCGGGTAGCATTGTGCCTGGCCAGTCGCTTCTGTGTGTCACGGTGCGCTTGGTACTCACGCAGGAGGTCCCCTGCGCGCTGTTCGCCAGCCGATTTCGCGGCGCTCGATGAGGAGGTGGTCGAGGCCGACCACACGAGCGCAAAGTACATCCTGCGCCGTCACAGCGAGAGAGCGTGATGGGTGGTTGTTGCGGGGCTGCAGGCGTAGGCTAGCCGGGGCCGACGAGGGCGGCGAACCTTCAAGCGTCGTGAGGAAGGAGTTCGGACGCCCTTGGGCGAATAAAGCGGGATTCGTTACGAATGGAAACAAAAGAAGAAACCCCACGGCGCACAATAAGGGGAACATTCTTCCTCCGATTCCTTGGAAAAGAAATTCCGCGCAGATTCTTGTCAGGGGGATCAGTCGCATCAGCACAGCCCGTGCCCGACACAGCTCCTGACGTGCGTCTCCGCTCGCCCTCTCCCCACGCGGGGCCGCGCCTCGCCTCCGGCGCACACGCCCGCGACCCCACACATGCTCGCGCCCCGCCCGCGCCGCCACATCGAGCGCTGCCGCGCCAGCCGCCTTGCGCCTGGGAAACGCCGCCGCAAACGCTGCCGCCTCCCTCCCCATCCCAGCACACTCGCCCACACCGCACGCGCTCGCACCACCGTGCTCGCACCACCGTGCCGCGCCGCCACGCCGCACGCCTGCGCTACACAGACTCTGCCATGGCTCTCAATCTGAACAAGCTCAAGCTCGACTCTGTCGACGTGGCGGGCAAGCGCGTCTTCATCCGCGTCGACTTCAACGTGCCGCAGGACAAGGCCGACCCCACCATCATCACCAACACCGCTCGCATTGAGGGCGCGCTTCCCTCGGTGCGCCTCGCCCCCCTCCCGCCACGCCCGGCCCTCTCTCCGCGCGCGGCGGCGCGGCCGCCGGCGCCGGAAGGCTCGCGCTGAGCCCCGCCTCTGTGCCTCTGTGCGTGCTGCGCGCTCGCAGATCAAGTACTGCCTCGAGAAGGGCGCCAAGTCGGTCGTCCTCGCGTCCCACCTCGGCCGGCCCGACGGCAACGTCGTGCCCAAGTTCACGCTCGCGCCGGTTGCCAAGGCGCGAGATATGGGGAGATAGGGGGAGGTATGGGGAGATATGGGGAGGCAGTATGTGCCGCCCGAGTACCTCTTCACACGCACGAGATAGGGGGAGGTATGGGGAGATATTGATGTGCTGCCCGAGTACCTCTCCACAGGCGCTCGAGAAGCTCATCGAAAAGCCGGTGACCTTCCTCACGGACTGCTGCGGCGAGGAGGTCGAGGCGGCGTGCGCCGACCCGGCCCCCGGCTCGGTCATCCTGCTCGAGAATGTGCGCTTCCACCTCGAGGAGGAGGGCAAGGGCGTCGACGCGGCGGGCGAGAAGGTCAAGGCGGACAAGGAGAAGGTCGCCGCCTTCCGCGCGAGCCTGTGCAAGCTGGCCGAGGAAAAAAGAAACACCGCGGCCTCGTATTTCTTTTGTAGGTCGCCGCCTTCCGCGCGAGCCTATGCAAGCTGGCCGAGGAAAAAAAGAAACACCGCGGCCTCGTATTTCTTTTGTAGGTCGCCGCCTTCCGCGCGAGCCTATGCAAGCTGGCCGAGGAAAAAAAGAAACACCGCGGCCTCGTATTTCTTTTGTAGGTCGCCGCCTTCCGCGCGAGCCTATGCAAGCTGGCCGAGGGAAAAAAGAAACACCGCGGCCTCGTATTTCTTTTGTAGGTCGCCGCCTTCCGCGCGAGCCTATGCAAGCTGGCCGAGGAAAAAAAGAAACACCGCGGCCTCGTATTTCTTTTGTAGGTCGCCGCCTTCCGCGCGAGCCTATGCAAGCTGGCCGAGGAAAAAAGAAACACCGCGGCCTCGTATTTCTTTTGTAGGTCGCCGCCTTCCGCGCGAGCCTATGCAAGCTGGCCGAGGAAAAAAAGAAACACCGCGGCCTCGTATTTCTTTTGTAGGTCGCCGCCTTCCGCGCGAGCCTATGCAAGCTGGCCGAGGAAAAAAAGAAACACCGCGGCCTCGTATTTCTTTTGTAGGTCGCCGCCTTCCGCGCGAGCCTGTGCAAGCTTGCCGACGTGTACTGCTGCGACGCGTTCGGCACGGCGCACCGCGCCCACTCCTCGATGGTGGGCGAGGGCTTCGCTGTCAAGTGCGCGGGCTTCCTCGTGAAGAAGGAGCTCGAGGCGTTCTCGATGGTGCTGGGCGCGCCGAAGCGGCCCCTCGTCGGGATCATCGGCGGCGCGAAGGTCAAGGACAAGATCATCGTGCTGGAGGCGCTGCTGGAGAAGGTCGACAAGCTGATCGTCGGCGGCGGGATGGCCTACTCCTTCCTCAAGATTATGGAGGACATGAAGATCGGCGGCTCGATCTACGACAAGTCGGCGCCCGAGGTCGTGCCTCGCATCCTCGAGAAGGCCAAGGCAAACAACGTGGAGATCATTCTGCCGGTCGACTTCATCTGCGGCAACAAGTTCTCGGAGGAGAGCGAGGTCAAGGGGCCGGTCTCAAAGGCAGAGGGCATCCCGGACGGCTGGGAGGGCTTCGACTCTTAGACGCGGAACACGCATTCATGCCTCCCAGCTAGCGCTCGAGAGGACACGTACTCCGCCGCATTCCGCTGCACTCCACTGCATTTCACTGCATTTCGCACCCCTCGTATTCACGCGGTGCTCTCAACACGCAGCACGACACCGTCTTCCCGCCCTCATGTCGGCGTATTCAACACGCAGGCTTCGACTGCGGCCCGGAGTCGAACAAGCTGAACGCGGAGACGATCAAGGGCGCGTCGACGGTCCTCTGGAGCGGTGCCGCTGTGAAGCAGGCGCCGCTCACAGCTCGGAGCCTGTGATCAGGCGCGTCGACGGTCATCTGGAACGGACCGCTCGGCGTCTTTGAGATCTCGCACTTCCAGGGCGGCACCAAGGCACACGCGCACGCGCGCGCCGCGCGCGCGCACACACACACACACACACACACACACACACACACACACACACACACGCACGCACGCACCGGGCCTTGCACTTTGAATGCCGTGGGGCTCCTGCCTGCCTTAGACGTGGAGTCGCGAGGGACCAGCCCGGCCCTTGCCCCACCACCTCGTGTGTGTGGAGAAGCTCACCTTCCCTTCCCTTCCCCTACCAAGGCGGCGATGGACGCGGTGGTCGAGGCGAGAAGAAGAAAAACAAGAAAGCGTTTTCTTTTTGTCTTAAGGCGGCGATGGACGCGATGGTCGAGGCGACCAAGGCGGGCGTGACCACCGTGATCGGCGGCGGCGACACCGCCACCGCCGCCGCGACGTGGGAGTGCGTGGACAAGGTGACCTTCGTGTCCACCGGCGGCGGCGCCTCGCTCGAGCTTCTCGAGGGCAAGGTGAGATACGGGGGATACGGGGAGATACGGGGAGATATGGGGAGGTGGCGGGGCGCACCAATCCTCGGACAAGGCACGGGGAGAGATGGGGAGAGATGGGGAGTCTCGAGCTTCTCGAGGCAAGGTGGCCTCCCGAGGCCTCGCCTCCTCGTTAGTTCTCATGACCAGTGCTCGTCAACCCTTGACTAGGTGCTGCCCGGCGTCGCGGCGCTCGACGACGCCTAGAGCGGCGCTTTCCTCCTCCCCTCTTCCCCTTGCGCTTTTGGGCCACTTCGTGGTCCGCGTGGCCAGGTCGCGGTTCGACAGTTCGGATTCCTCTCGATACACTCGATTCTCTCGCAGTCAAATACACACAACCGGTGTACGTGATGCGCAAATGGCCCGTCCTATTTATTTCTCTCTCTTCTTGTGAGTCGACTCTCGCAGACAGACTAGAGGGTGCCAGGTACAAGCGGTACAAGGTAAGGTAAATTTCTCCACACACAAAAAGCTCCCCCCAGCCCCCCCTCATCGCAAACGCCCTGTCAGGTAAGGTAAGGCAAGGTAAGGTAAACGTCTCCACACACACAAAGTGGTGGGGCAAGGGGGGGCGACCCTCGCATCTCCACACCCGGACACGGGCAGGAGCCCCACGGGCTAGTTCCATTACCATTTCACTCAGAGAGACACGCTAATCTGGAAAACGTCCAACGGAGCTCCGTGTTGCGGCTCCGGCTCAGGTCGTGGGGCATAGCTCGGGTGTAAACGGGGTCTGGGCAGCGGCCCGCCGCAGGCGCCGCCGGAGGCTGGCCCGCCGCAGGCGCCGATTTTTTTTGGCGTTTTTTGCTCAAAATTGAGATATTTCTCATCAAATTCTCATCAAAATCGAGCTCGCTACGTCCTACGAGCTCTCTAACTGCACAGCACTCCTCGTTGAGCCTAGCGGCGCCCGTATCGCCCACGCCAACATTCTTCTTCTTCTTCTTGCCCTTCTTGCCCTTGGGCCCTTGCTGCACTTAGCCGCTCAACCTCCGCCAGCAGCAGCTCCTTGGCATGCCGCGCCGCCTCCATCTGCTTTGCTTCCCACGCTGCCGCTTTCTCTAAAGCAGCGCCGCCACTAAGCGGCGCAACCAAGTTCTCGCATTGTTTGCATGAGCACGTGTCCTGCTTGGCGCGGCGCACAATCCGCGCGCGGCGAGTGAGGTGCGTGAGAGCAGAAGACTGACAGCAGGAGCTGCAGGAGCTGCAGGAGCTGCGCGGGTCGGATGGGCGGTGACGCCGTCGAGCGACGGCGCAAAGGTCAATCGCTGCTGCTGCGCCAACGAGAGCGGCGACACGAGGCTGCTGGCAGCTGGCAGAGCGAATCGCGATTCCGGCGGCCGCCGTCAGCCCGCCGACACCGACGGCCTGGCTGAGGTCAAACTCCTCCACACGTCGGACCAGCCATGCGTCGGCCACGGCGACGAGACGTCTGTATGCAGACAGCCCGACACCCGGGCGATAGAACATGCCAGCTGGGCTCTTCCACAGGGCTCTCGTGGCCCGTGGCGCGAAACCCAGGTGAATAGGGCGGGCTAAATAAATAAATAAAAACGGACACCTCTCTACTGTGAGATGGGTAAAAAGGAACAGGCCCCCGCCCTTGCGATCTTTGTGCAGGGTTCTTTGTGGGTGTGGTCGGCGACTAGCCGGGGTCGTCCTCCCGTTGGGGGACTAGCACTAGCCGTCTTCCACATGGTCCCTCGGGTCCCTGCTGCTCCTAATCTCTTGATCGTCCTTCCAAAATCCTGCTCGTGCAGGTGGGGACCCTGTCCTCGTCCCATCCCTCGTTTGGCGTGTCTGTTTTCTTTCTTTCTTTTCCATTCTCACACTTGGTCGGCGGTTCGGATACTGTTAGGTCAGTCGGCGGTTCGAGCTCGGTTCGCGATTCGGATTGAAGTTGTTGGACGTTGTCATATGGGCCGGGCGGAAACGTTGGTGGATCCGTTGGCCGAGTGGGAGGTGGTAGCCGGGACGAACCAAGGACACTCCGAACGGCGCGTGCCCGCGCGACGCGCCCCCCTTTTCTTTTTTTCCGGCCGCTCGAGCGGGCAGCGAGCGGCCGATCCAGCGGCGACGCCCTGGCGAAGAGCGCGATGCTCTCGCTCTTGCAGCTCGCGTCGCTGTTCGCCACCGGGCTCGTCACGCCCAGTCAGCTCACCACGCTCATATCAAGCTCGCTCCGGCCGTCCTCCTACCTCGCGACCAGCCCCGCCGCCGCCCGACGCGTCGCTGACGCGTGCGCCGAACTGGAGGCGACGGCGCCGCCGCCGCTCTGGCCCCGCGACCTTCGCAGGCTGGACGGGTCGTGGAGGCTGATCTACTCATCCGCCCTGGCCGGGCCGCAGCCGCCCTCGCCGCTCGACGGTCTGCCGGCGCCTCCCGCGGCGCTCCTCGCCGCCGTCGAGTCGGCGCCATTCGCGCCTCTCGGCGGCGGTGTCCAGCAGAACGTCGACGTCTTCAAAGTGTGTGCCCCTCAACGTTGCACAGACGTTCTCCCTTCCACGAGACCTCACCCAGCTTGCACACCTCGCACAGCGCCGCATCGTCAACGTCGTCGAACTCTCGCCGTGGCCAACTGGAGCTCTCGGCGGCCTCCTCTCCTCCGCCCCCGGACCGCTCGGGCAGGCGAGCACTAACCCTAACACTAACCTTAACCCTAGCCCTAACCCCAACCCTAACCCTAACCCTAACCCCAACCCTCACCCTCACCCTCACCCTCACCCTCACCCTCACCCCCACCCTCACCCTCACCCCCACCCTCACCCCCACCCTCACCCCCACCCCCACCCTAACCCCTGACTGCTCGGGCAGGCGAGCAAGCAGCTCCAGGCCGCTCGCGTGGTGCTCCAGCTGGACCATTCCTTCACCGCCGCCCGATTAAAAAAGAAATAGCGAGACGAATTCTTTTTAGGTGCTCCAGCTGGAGCACTCCTCCACCACTACCCGTGAGAAAACGAGATAGCAGCCAGTATTTCTTTTTTAGGTGCTCGAGCTCGACCACTCCTTCAGCGCGGACGGCGACGGCTCCGACGGCACTGCCTAGAGGGGGAGATGAGGGGAGATGTGGGGGGAGATATGTGGAGATATGGGCCACCGCTCGCGGCCCGTCGGCGCCTAGACTGGGAGATGTGGGGAGATGTGGGCAGATAAGTGGAGATATGGGACACCGCTCGCGGCCCCGTCGGCGCCTAGACGTGGAGATGTGGGGAGATATGTGGAGATATGGGCCACCGCTCGCGGCCCGTCGGCGCCTAGATTGGGAGATGTGGGGAGATGTGGGGAGATGTGGGGAGATATGGGCCACCGCTCGCGGCCCGTCGGCGCCTAGATTGGGAGATGAGGGGAGATGTGGGGAGAGATGTGGAGATATGGGCCACCGCTCGCGGCCCCGTCGGCGCCTAGATTGGGAGATGTGGGGAGATGTGGGGAGATGTGGGGAGATATGGGCCACCGCTCGCGGCCCGTCGGCGCCTAGATTGGGAGATGTGGGGAGATGTGGGGAGAGATGTGGAGATATGGGCCACCGCTCGCGGCCCGTCGGCGCCTAGATTGGGAGATGTGGGGAGATGTGGGGAGATGTGGGGAGATACAACTGTATGGGCCACCACTCGCGGCCCGTCGGCGCCTAGATTGGGAGATGTGGGGAGATGTGGGGAGATGTGGGGAGATGTGGGGAGAGGTGGGAGATATGGGGCCTCGTGTAG